CTCTGATGGGAGATGTGCAGTGAAGGCCGCATCCTGGGGAAGACAGAGACACCGATGCGCTTTCTTGCTCCAACCCAATCCAGGAGGCCTCTTCCTTTCAACCAACAGTTATTTCCCCCAAAACAGTGAGGGGACAAACTGATGCTGCTCATGGCTCCTTCCCAGAAAACTAATTTTCTTGCTCAGCATATCAACTGAAACATCAGAGCAGAACATGCCACACTGTGGACTTTTCTAGTTAGCAGCACCACCAAAACGATGCTGGGCGATTTTGTCACCCGAGGCATGCCCCTGATTTCAAAGTGTTCAACGTAGTCTATAGAAATAAAGTTGCCTGGGTGTGGTGGCTCACCCCTGTAATCCTAGCAATCTGGGAGGGCGACGCGGGAGGACTGCTTGACTCAGGAGTATGAGACCAGTCTGAGCAAGGGTGAGACCCTGTCTCATTTAAAAAAAAAAGAAAGAAAAGAGAAATAAAGTTGCCTGAGGTCAGTCGTGGGATCCTGGGGAAAGAGGTCGCAAAGCCAGGTTCCAGCAACACTCACCTCACTACCAGGGGTAGCTAGTTTACAGTTAAGAGGCCTGCTAAGGCAGGCAAGGAATTTACTGTTTAAAAAGGGATCTATCTTAGAAAACATCTTTTGTTCCCAGAATTAGCTGTCAAATATATTTTTAAACTTTTATGGCTATTTGAGAAATATATTCAGAAAACCATAGACAGGTGCTCCTAAATTTCCCGTCAGCTCATTTTCCTTCCTAGCTGAAGCAGCCCAGGATAAGGCCATGGTCTGAGACTTGGTGTGTGAAAAATAGCTGATTCCTGCAGTGACCTTCACTTTCCAGGCCAAGGAACGTAAAGGTGCCCCTCCTGTCTTACCCTGCAGAGGGCGGCAAAGCATAAGGTGGCCCAGGACGGTATGCCCTGCTCCGCCCACCTTCCGACTTCATTTGTCCTTGTGCATGTTTCCTTCAAAATTCTCAACATGGGGCACCACCTTCCTGCAGAACAGACCTGCGTATTCACACCACGTGATGCACGCACACACGGGGTGGGGGTGCAGAGGGTACATTATAATCTGGAACTGTATTCAGAAAGCTGGTCCCTACAAACCCCCGACATGCAAATAAATATCCACCAAGCAGCATCCTCAGACTCAGTCTATGTTCAGAGATTCTGACCCACAGATCAGACCTGGGAACACAACTTGGAACACAGAAGCAATACAATTACAGAGACACACAAGAAGAACAGTTGAAAATAAACCTCCCTCCCTCCTTCCTTCCTTCCATGTGTGAGTGGGACTGTACAGGCCCACCCATACAGAGAAGGAAGGAAGTAGCAAAGGGACAAACAGGGATGATGGCCCAGAAGATAAAGCAACCACTGGAATGGAGAGCCCTGATTCCCTTGAGCCATCCAGACAGGTTTCTCACAGAGTCCAGGCTCTTCTGACAGGCTACCTCCGGAACATACTGCATTCAGATCACACTACTCAGCCAACAAAAGAACTCTGCAGTGCACTTTGGCAATGAGGGGCATAAGCAGGTGAACATGGCAACACTGCCGCATCTAAGAACATAACGGCAGGCTCACCTTCTACAAAGGTGACTTCACATGCATGCTTTCAGGAAAAAGGCCGGTCAACAGGAGACCAAGGGGAGACTTTCTGCATATCTTGGAAATAAATACAAGGGCACACCCAGACAAAGCAGGTAAAGAAATGCCCCTTCCCACCCACCAATCACCGGCATCCCTTCTCTGTACTAGAGAGATACTGCATTATCCCTGGCTGATGTCTTTATGCACCAGACATCTAATTCAATGCTGTGGTCCCAACGTCCTGGGGGAGCACCCTGAACAAAGAGCATCAGAACCATAACTCACACTGCTCCCTGCCAGGAAACCCTCTAGAGCCATTTCCACAGGAACATTGAGTACACAGCCTGCCTCACTCTAGTATCTCTGGCCATGGTTCAAATGGTGGCTATGCATCCCATGTCTAAAAGCCCGGATAACAACTGGACAGGATCCCTATCCTTGCTTGCTAAGTCAAGAAGTACTGAGAAGAAAGTCAGGATTCTTGAGACTTTTCCTACCAAGTAATAATTCTTTCTCCCATGAAATTTTCTGTCACTTAAAATAAAGGTAGATGATTATTCAACTAAATTCCTGTTAATCGGTGTCAATATAAATCACACTTAACTAATAAAGTTTCTAGAAAATACCCTGGCTGGCCAAAATCCTGTTGCTTTTCTGGTTTTGAGTGACAGTTCAAGGAAAATTCACAGTGAGATAAGCGCCAATGTGACTAGCCACCTGCCAGGACCTTGAGAGTTTGGGGCGGAGGCACTTCCGGAGATGTGCACCATAGCCTTAAGCCCCCACGACCCCAATCTGGCTCCTGCTCACCTGACCTCAATCCTGCAGGCCCTGGCACAGGGGCCAGCAAACCCCTGTGGGGCAGGCCAAGTCAGCCCATAGCTAGGAATGGTGTGTATGTTTTCAAATAATTTTAAAAGTAACAGAGGGAAAAAAGACCACGACTATGTTGAGATGTGTTAATTATATGAAATTCAAGTTACAGGGTCCATAAAAAATTTTACTGCCACACAGCTATGTCTGTCTGTTCACATTTTGCCTATGGCACCTTTCGCCCTACAACAACAAAGGTGAATAGTTGCAATAGAGATTGTGTGGCCTGAAATATTAACTATCTGGTCCTTTGTGGAAAAAGTTTGCTGACTCCCATCCTAGCACATGCCAAGTTCATCCCTCTGTACTTGCTGTCATCTCTGTACAGAAACTACTTTGACCTGTGGCTTTGTACAGACAACTCCTTCTTGTCTTTGGGTCCTGGCTAAAATGTCACTATTTCTAAGTAATCTTTCCTGAATTTTCTATCTAGAGAAACCTAGCCCAACTCTGCCCTGTATATCTCCTTCCACAGCTCTTATCTAAAGTTGTCTTGTTCATTTACTTATGAGCTGTCTTTTCACAAGACAGGCTTCCTTGCCTGTCGTTTCCACTGCTAAGTTCCTAGTTCCTAGCAGAGCATTTGTGAACTGCATGAACACTGGTCATATTAGTTATATAAACTGAGCAAAGATGTACTCAGACCCCCTCCCCTGTCTCTCATTACCAGGGATCCACACTGAAGAGACGGCCCTGTCTGGGCATCATGATACAGCTTGTAATATATAAAACAAGCAATCAAATAAAACCTATTATACTTCCCAAAGGTTTTATTTGGTTGCTTGTTTTAACAACTAAGTTGAGCTGTAAGTTAAAAATAGGATGTGTTTTATGCCCAAAGGATGGGGAGAAACTCCCACCTCATGGCTTCCGGACATCAAGTGACAGGTGCCCGATGCCTGCTCTGATCCTCCAGCCCTGGTCTGTCTGTGCCCATCACAGGGTCCTGGCATTTCAGTGGTATTCAGCTCCCATTAAAACATAGCCCAATGCCTATAAATAGGAAGGTCTTTTAAACACTAATTAAATATAACAGTCTGGCATTTGGAAAACTCTTATAAACAAAAATATAAGAGCTGAAATAAACAGCAACAGTTACACATCTGATCTATGCTCAGGTGGATAAGAAGTTATGTGTGTCTTCTTGGAGTTTTTCAATTAATCCTGAATTTATGGGACTTTAAAATGCATAACAATGTACATTTTACCTTAAGTTAATAAGGAATTGGCTTTTATCAATTTACTCCCTGGTTTTTGTGGGGTTTTTTTGAGACAGGGTCTTGCTCTATCTCCCAGGCTAGAATGCAGTGGCATCATCATAGTTTACTGCAACCACAAACTCCTGGGCTCAAGCGATTCTCCTGCCTCAGTCTTCCGAGTAGCTGGGACTACAGGCACATGCCATCATGCTTGGCTAATTTTTCTAATTTTTTGTAGAGATAGGGTCTCACTCTTGCTCGGGCTGGGTCTCGAACTCCTAGCCTCAAGCAATCCTCCTGCCTTGGCCTCCCAGAGTGCTAGGATTACAGGTGTGAGCTATTGTGCCCAGCCAATTTACTCCAGCTTAATGACTGTAAAATTCACTTAAACCAATATATGCTGAATATCATTTCAACATTATCAATAGGGAGAAATTATAATATTTTGCTTTTTCATTTGATGCTTTCAATATGCACTGTGAACTTTATACTCATACCACATCTCAATTCAATATAGCTACATTTCGAGTGTTCAGTAGTCACATGTAGCTAATGGGCTGCTGTACTAGACTGGCACAGTTTTAAAACGTTCAGAGTTATTTTCAACTGAATACAAACCAAACTTACTTGCATTTTCAGCATTTTAGGAATCTTATATAAAAGAGATTTCTCTTTGAGCTCTTGTTTTTTTTACTTAAGATGACTGAATACATTAAATATTTATTATTTTATATTAAAAAATACCTCAGAATTCATCTTAGGATTCACATTGCATTCCTTACAATAAGGTAAACGACATTAAGGACTACATCATATTGCTTTCCCACAAGCATCCAATTTTAATTTTCAAACCACGGCTGCTAGATTCAGTTTTCATTTCCTTTACACATGGCTGCTTTCCTGTCCTAACTGAAGGCAACCAAGAAGCGCTGACACATCTGAGCCAAGTTTCCTTAATGTGCAACAGGAAGGTGCCACCATCAGTGTGCAAGATGACCCGCCCAAGTTTACAGCTCAAAAACACTCCACCCTGCTTGCTCCTTCCTTTAGGAGACCTATTCTGTCTTTATGATTTAAGAAGAGGGAAAAACAGGATTTCCAAATACTCTAGTTAGCAGCACAAGCATGATCAGAGGGCCCTTGCTAGAGTGAGCACACCAAGGGGAGCAGCTTAGCTCTGTCCAAAGCACTTGTTCTTTACTCATACAGCAAACACATAGAATTCTAACAGACATGGTAGTTCCAATAGTTTGGGACTACAATGGAATCATCATTCTTTGCCAACAGTGGGGATCTGCTGTTTAAACTCTGAAGGCGTTCCTGCTTACCTCGGCATCCTGATCGTGGAGGTGGTATGTCCTCTGGAGGCTTTGCAGAGTTCGAGGGTATAAGGTCTTCTGCTCCAAGAGATGCTCCAGAAGCAAGACCAGCTGGTCTGGAAGAAGCTGAGGGCAAAACCAAACAGCCTGTGAAATGCCATTCAGCTGATGAGAAACTAAACAAATGTTTAGACCAAAGAGAGTAAATCCAGGGTAACCTGGGCATATGTTTGAAACACAGGAGGAGTGCTGAGTTGAATTTTGGAAAACTTCAGGGTATACACTGTCTATATCCCCCAAAGACAGTGCATTCTGAGGTCTAATTAAGTCCTGTTCTACACTTAGAGCAGATCAAAACTGTGCTTATCTTCATAAAACATTATCATGGTTTATCAGATCCCTTCCTTTATAGCATGCATATGCCAAAAAATGTAATTTAGCCTAGACAAAGATTCAAGAAGCCATCCAATTTTAGGCAAACTCGTGGATATTTAACAGAAATAAGCAGCTTCAGATTTCCTCCTTTACCAATTGAACCCTGAAAATACACCTGCTACACAATGAAAAATAAAAAAGCATATAATGAAATAAGAACGATGTATTTACTCCATTATAAAAATTATAAATTTATACTCCACTAAAAAATTGTAAAAGGTTGTACAAATGATTATACATATAACTATATACACAGAACACAAACACACCAGGTCACCCATATTCTTGAGCTTTCAGATACGAAAGGCCAAAAGTGGTATTACCAGTTAAGGGCAAAGAGAAGAGGAAGTCTTTGCATGGTACAAAAATAAAAAACAAACCATATTTGCGAAATCCAAGAACTGAAGAGTAAGACTTCATTTGACTTACTCATCTGGGTACCACAATGCCAAGACTGGCGGCACTGCCTCGACAGCAGCTCATTGGAGAAGTCAATTTAAAGACATACTTCATAGGAACTGAAAAATACCTTATTCTAAAAATCAAGGTTTAAAAATTATTACTGCTAACTCCACCATTCTCTACACTTAGCTTGTCTCTATCCCTGCTTATGCTCAGATAATTCCTGTCAACTAACTCGAATTTACAGGTCTGGAAACCAATAGCAGATTGATAGAAAATTCACATGAACACATGGATTTTAACTGCCACTTTCTATTACTCTAAAAGAAATTTTTAAAATTATTGGCTTCTCTCCCTCCCCTCCTTCATCTTTCTGCCCTTAAGTGTGTGCCCTGCTGGCTCCCCTCCTCCAATACCCCCCACAATCATTCATTCACACACACACACACACACACACACACACACACACACACACACACTCTCTCTCTCTCTCTCTCTCTCTCTCTGCCAAAATGTACACATAGGGAGACTGCTAGGCTACACTGCAACATCCACCATGTAATTCCACAAAGAACGCATTTCTTACATTTCCTCTTCTCACCTTTCCAAGTTCTAACAAAACCCCACTTTCCTATAGAGACAGAGAGGTAGACAGACACACACACATGCACACCGCTTGGTTCTTGGGTCTGTTTGTTTCATAACATCACTCCATCTGAAAGTCTCTCAGGCTGATAGGAGAAATAAGGTGCCTTCAGCGAAATCATAGTACAATTAGCGCTGACTTGTGAGGTTCTACACTCGAGGACTCAAAGAACTACTAACCCTTAATATATTTTCATGAGAAGTCAGTGCTTACAAGATGTTTTAAAAACATCAAATTACTACATAGTAACAAAAACCACCAATTTACCATATTCTATAGTTTTAGACACATGAGACTACTTTTATATTTAAAAGAAATCTGTTTTATAGAAGAGGCTAAACAAAGGACCCCAAGCCCCTGGTGAGCCTCCTCACCTGTTCACACCATAACCACCTTTCAGAGGTAGATACATGTAGGGCATCCAGCCTCGTGGCACTCCTGACCAGGCAGCCCAGCTGAAACCTAGTTCTCTGCCTTGCTTGCTCCTGTCCTGGAGGGAGCACCTCCCTCTGCCCTCCTTCTCCCCACCCACCTCACCCTGCAGACTCCTTCAATGTGCCAAGGGAAGTCCTTTTCTGCTGGAGGCTGAGTCTTCAGCCTGTGGCCTTGTGCACACCCTACCCATTCCCTGTAAGCTGATCACCAGATAACCCTCCTGCAATGAACCCTTTCCACTGTGTCTTCCCTTTCTTTCCAAACATGGGCCTTCCTTACTGCAGCCCCTATTTCCCTTTGTTTAGCTACTGCCAAAGTGTGCTCCTCTGGGTTCCCCACTCCAGGGTGGCCTACCCTGGGCACCCCTCACCAGAGCATCCTACCTCCCCCTGCAGGGGGTGGGGGAAGGGAGGGTGCCACACTCCAGGGCCAAGAACCCCCAGCAATATGTAAGTGTTGGAAGGGCCCAGAATGGGTCAGAGTAGCCCAGCCTGCCCTGCATCCCACCTCCACAGGAACTCTAAAAACAGGTAAGCAGCATTTCTAAAGGCAGCCAGTCAGAGGGTGACAGGAGCTTGACGTTGACTGAGGCCCCTCCAGACACAGGAAGGCAGGCATCTGGGAAAGAACCCAGCCCAACAGAGAAGCGACTCTCTGCAGTGACAAGGCCTGATCCAGTGCAGAACATCCACTGCCCAGGATGGGGGCCTTGTTTGCTAACTAAATAAAGAACCGGCCCTGCCAATTTGCAGAATTACAGGGAAAAAAAGAGTAGAAAGAAAAGCATCTCCCTTATGTGCATGCACTTACAAAGAGGCCTATTGTTAGAACTCTCATTTGGGACTTGGTTTCAACTAAAGAGACCCACAGGGAAGAAAAAAAGAAAAACCCTTGAGTAAGACAACTAGCTTGGTCCTCAACTTACCCCAACTGCAACAAATAAACACAGCTCCAGTTTAAAATCAAACAAATACTAATATGTGAACCTATCAAAATACCTGGATTCGTACTTGTATCTCTCTCAAAGTTTTCTTCTAAGCATAAAGTTCACACATCTGTACACAGAAACAGAACTGAAAGAATCACTGGAAGTTTTTGTCTTCTCCAAATTTTACATAATGGAAATATTTAAAGCTACGCCCGTGAGGTAAGACAGACAACTGAGATGGAAGGGAGGGAGTACATATGTGGCCAAATCCTTAGGGTTCTTCAATAAGTGTAACTGGAGAGAGGTAAAGAGCAAATGTGGACATGCCCCCCTCCAGGTATCTGCTCCTCCTTCAATAAGGCACCAACCACAGACTGCTACAAGAGCCAGCTTGTTCACAGACAGGCAGAACTCAACAAGGACCAACACAACCATGCTGAAAACATTCCTCCATAATGCCAGGAGATTTCTGCTAGTCTGACTCTTTAGAATAGACTTACAGAAATGACTCTCACTCAGTAAACAACCTGTAGCCATCTGGGTTTCAGCTGTAACTAATTCATGGTGGGAAAATGTAGTTTCTAAATAATGAAAAAGGTAGAAAAAAATCAGTGAACAAATGCTGTTTTGGGAGGCAGACAATAAAACGAATTAAGCATCCTTTATTCATAAATACATTAACATTTTAAAAAGTGAGATTAACAGACCTTAAAAGGAGGATATTGAAGCAAAAATGAGGTAAGTAGCTACTTTAATACAGCACATTTCCCTCTGTAAAATAAACATTTGCTCCCCGTAAAACCACCCTACAATGAAAAAGAAATGATATGTAATAAGCCAAAATGTTTGGTAAAGCAAGTGAGACATATCATATCCCAGCAAATGTGCTCAGAGGCAGTGCTGGGCAGTGTGACCAATCCTGGCAGCTGGCACAGGGGTAATGGGAAATGTCGTGTGGATCATTCCATTCCCACCCATGTAGAAATCAAATTAAATTTCACATGACTTCTAGGCCAATTGTGTTTTAACACAGCAGTACTGCGGGAGACAGATATGGCTTTAGTCATACTATGGAGTGATCAGGAAAAATAAAGTACGTCTCTGAGCATTCCCTCCTAAGAAAGATCTTTTTAACATTATAAAAAAAACTTGCCTTTATTTCTGGGGGTCTAATATAGTGCTCACACCCACAGTTCAACAACGACAGAAATAGAAAGTTCTTTCCTTTGCACAAACAAGGAATTCATGACGGGGTTATTATTTTTTCCATATGGAGACCAGCTCAGTATTTTTAAAATGCATCTGCCTCAGAAACTTAGACAAAATAAGACTATGGGGTGCCAAAATCATGTGAGTACTTGAAAGAGAACTTCACAGGATTATAAAACTTACTCAAATGAATAAAATGCTAGGGAGATCAGTCAAGTACAAATGCTACTTGTTAACGATTTTAGAATCGTTGCTCTAAACATGGACGATTTCATAGTTGTTAATTACTGAGAAATGTACAAAGGGAAAAAAAAGTCTATTTTGTTTTTTCCTGGTCAACTTAAGAGTAGACACAAACTGCATAACTTTTAACGGTCTGAAAGAGTTTCTACACAGGCTCTTGGAAAGAAAATAGGAATTTTTCAAACCTACCCTCCTAACCTACAAGCAACACAAAGAAAAACCCTGACTCTTCCAAAAGAGTCAGAACTCCTGACTCTTACTGCTGTCATGAGGGGCATCGCTCCCTCTGAGCTCCCAGAAGACCACCCACACAACTGCGGCCCCTCCCCTGTTTCTCCCATTAGCATGACTCGGAAAAGGCCAGCTCACCTCCTAGATCAGAAAATGCCACGGACACGTCTCACAACTGACCTTCCAGAGGCAGGACCTGTGAAAAGGGACCAGTGCTCACGAATGTCCGAACCCCATTGCCTGCACCCCTCTAAAAGCAAAAGAGGGCACCTCCGGCACAGCCCAGCTGGCACACTGCAGCCGCACAAGAAGAAAGTCGCTGCGCAGCTCCCCAGACAGAGAATGAGCCTGGGACTAATGCAGCCACGGATTGACAGTGGCGTGAGTTCTATTATTACCCCATTATCACTCTGGGATCTGTGCCTAAATGGAGCATGCTTCCTCCCTGATGCCATTTCCTTTTATCCTGGCTGGAGACTAAAAGCGGATCAATGGGGGCAATACATATGATGTCACTTCAATTTACAGCGATGGGCCTCCCCTCTTTTCAGTCTGTCTGAAACACACAGAAAGATCAATTCTTCCCAAAAATGGTTA